GCTGACACATTCAAATAAGTTAGGGTCAGTTGGGACTTGGGGTTGAAGTTTTTGGATGGTCAACTCTACATAGATATACATTTGTGACTTTATTAAAACTGAAGTAATAGCATAATATGTTATTCTATAAGTATAACATATCAACCACCATTCATTTATTTGCACTCTAGTTATGAGTGGTTTACTCAAGATGTACCTGGTTCCAAAAAAAAAAGAATGATAATTAGTGTCACCAAACAAGTACTATGCATGATACGTTTCTTCTTTCAAAATTCCCAGGTTGGAGCCTGGAGGGACAGGATTATAATCTTCACTGGCATTTATGGTCCTACACAGTCTTTAATAAAGGCATTTCTAGACTCCGGTGCTAAAGCCGTCATATGCCCTTCTGCTGAGCCCGACGAAACACAGTCATCAACCTTTCACGGTTCCGGAGAGTTCAACGCCGTAGAAAACGGGAGGTTTGAGATAGGAGACGAAGAAATGGAAGAAGAAGAAGAAGAAGGAGAAGATAGCGAGCCGTCCAGCCCGGGCAGCGACTGGGAAAATAGCGACCCCGAGAGAAATGGTCGCGCGAATAATAATTCTGTATGGGACGACGACGAAGGGCAGTTGTGTCATTTCGTGTGTGAGCTGTACAATTCTCTGTTCCAGGGGGGTTCGAGAATAGATGACGCGTTAAAGCTCTCCCTCGCCTCACATCGGACTCTGAGGTACTCCTGCCATCTCCCCCCCACTGTGTATTACTAACTATATTAATCAACACCATACATTGGGATTGGTAGGCCTCTCTATACTTGTTTACAGTGAACAACATTTGAGGTCAGTAAAGAATAGAAGGAAAAAAAATGAGAATACAGAAAGAGATAGATATACAAGAAGAGAGAAAGAGAGGAATAATTGGTTCATTTTGAGTAATGAACGATGATTAGTAAAGTGAATAAGAGATTTTCTTCTTTGTACTATTCTTTTAGTGAACTTAGAGCATGTTTGAAGGATAAGATTTATAGGAAGTGTAAAGTTACACTATCCTCATATCACACCATCTTGTCACCTTTCCAATTATGGTATCTATATTGCTTCGTTTATAAAATTGATAGTTTCTACTCCTCTAACCTTTCTAACCCCCACCCCTTGTCCCCCACACTGGATTCACCGGTTTGCTTGCATCGGTTTTTTTCCGGATAAAATTGCACTCCATATTTCATAATACTCAAGAAAAAAGTTTTATCTTTTTATTACTAAAATTAGTAAAATGAAAGGAATTTTTTTCTCTTATTTTAATTTATCTTGCTATCTTATCTTCTTTTTTTCAATTTTCTTTTCCTCTCTAAATACCAAAAAGAAATAATTTTTCATGTCGTTTTTGTTATTTACCCTTTCAAATTCCTTGAACCAAATATATTGTTAATCTTTTCCTTTGTTTTTTACATGTAGTTTTTGTGTGATTTCATTAAGTTTTAGAAAGAAAAAAATGTCATTAAAATTTAGATAGATGATAGAGAAGTGATATGAATCTAACAATTCTTTCCCTAAAAACAATAGTAATAAACAATCTTTTATAACTGATGTTTTCCATATTTAATCCATAATTATAAGATATCATATTCATAGTCTTTAAGTAATGCTCTAACCGGTGGGATTCAGTGCCACCTGATTTTCTTGTTCCGTTGATTGATTGAGTAATGCAATTTTTTCCTTTTAAAAAAATACTCCCTCCAATCTAAGCAAGGCTCCTATTTAGTTTACGATATTTAGCTAAAACTATTTCAGATTAACATAAGTAAAAATTGTTGTTGAATTAAAAATGAATGTTACGGAGTATATATTATTCTGTAAAAAACTACACAAAAAATTAAATGATCAATAGAATTAGTTTGACTTGTGAACATCAATTAAAAAGTTTTATTGAATGGGAGGAGCATTTATTATGTTTTGCATCTAAGAAAAAAGATATCTCAAATATCTGAGATAGTTTTTTTCTAAAATAACACGATATAAAAAATACTCCATCCATCCATAAATATTTGTCACACTTGTGTTCACGAAGTAAAATATCAAGTTTTTTCAATTCATTTTATTTACATATTGGTATAGAAATTAAAAATAAAATTTACATATCAAAAACTACATGACAAGTTCTTCGAAATAAGTGGTGTCAAGAATATTTTATTTTATCAAATAACCAATGAAAACGTATAAATAAACAAAAGTTCTCGCGACTGCTAGTAACAAATATTTGGGAGTAACAAATATTTGGGACGGAAGGAGTATAGATTAGGGCAACGGGCCCAAGTAGAACCTAACTGGTTCCGGCCCAAGTAGTACCTACCTGGTCACCCCGAAATATAACCCAGCTTTCATCATTTTCTTACAAATATTCGACATTAAAACGTTCCGTATTTTTGAACATGTGTCGGACAATTGATATTTGCAGTCCAATAAATCTACTCAGTTTTTTTACAAAGGACAATAATGTACTCAATTGATTTTTTCGGCTCCCCAACACTAACGCACTGCATTGGTTTCTTATTTTTGTTTTTTAAAATAGTTTTTGATGGTCGATTATGTATTTCACAAACTATGTTCAATATAATACTGGAAAAATAAAATTCAATAATATATTCGGTATTTTTGTGATCAACTCCATTTTTGAAACGTTTTCTTCATTTTTTTAACATCAAAATCGAACATAGATTTTCTATTTCTCCCCTTCGTGTAGAATTGAAATTTTCATTTTGTTTTACCAGACTTAATCAATTTTATATTTAATTGTTGGTATAAAATTTAAAATTAAAATTTATATATTTAAAAAATTACATAAAAGTTTCTAAAAATAAAATGACATTATTTTATACTCAATATAAAATAAATAAAATTTGACAATGTAAGCGAACAATTTATTTCTAAATGGAGAGAGTACGTGATTAACTCATGTCCCAAAATAGTGAAACAAGGTCACCATTTTATATTAATGTTAAATTTAAAAGAAAAGCAGAAAAAAAATAATCAATGGTACTATTAATGTTAATTACTCATAAAAAAAACAATTCAACGATTCTCAATCAATTGAAAACAATTTTTCTATGTTTTTCATTTACAAGTTTGGTATGTCTAAAAGAAATAACTTGTGCACTAATGAAGTTAATTTTTAACAAAAATTACTGACATGAGACAAATTATTTATATTTTACACATTACGGAGTATTTTATAAAAGAATAATTAAGATAAAAAAATAAAAATAATTAATGAATTTATAAAGTTTTGGGGTAATATTCTAGCGATCTGCATTTTTTCTTGTCTTATTCCACATCAATAATTTCTAAACGAATTTTCTAGAGAGATTTTTGTGAGACATCACTTGCAATTATTTATAGCTTCTGGAGTACATTAAAATATAAGAACACATTTAAAAAAGTAAGCATCCAAAGTAATTGAAGTACTCTATATAAATAGTTATTAAAAAAATACTCCGGTGTAAAACTTAAAAAAAAAAAAACAGACTTGTACCTATATTAACTTACCAAGTATTTCTTAGCAATATAAACTTTCTACCACTCCGTATGCGCAAAATCAATGCGGAATAGTAATATTTGAGAGGTAGAAAAGAATTCAATTGAGAACTGTTAACTTGAAAAGAGATGGGTTCAAACATGAAAGTTGAGGTTACCTTTGGGGTCACCCAAGGTTAATGCCTCAAAATATTTTCATGATGACCCTCTAGTATTAAACATGTCTTCATCTGTAATGCATCACACCCTTTTGTTACTTTGTACCCCATTTTGCACACCATCCCATCATCCATGCACTCTCCAAATTCAAAAATGTTAGGTGTACACTACTTTGGTGTACACCACTTATACCCCAAGGTGTAACAAACTAGTGTACCCCACTTGTACCTCAAGGTGTTACAAACTGGTGTTGTATGCCAAAATAGTGTATACCTAGTATAACCCCTCCAAATTTCATCCACCCCATAAGAAATGTATGGTAGATGATGGTGTGGCGTCCAAAGTGGGGTACAAAGTTATACTTCGAGTATCTTTGATGTAGCCTATAGATAAAGTTGGTCGAAATATCCCCACACTAGGAACACACTTGGAACCTACCCATACATGGCCTCCGATTATATCTTCCAAATCGTCAACAGTGACAATCCATCCGTCTCCACCAAAAGGAGATATTAGTAAAAAACCAAATATGATACATGGACTCGGGGTCAAGTTCGTAATTTTTCTTACATCTCCCCCCTATAGGGGCCCAAGTATCATATGCTTGGATGGCTGCTCAAGATCAGCCTCATGAAAACCTTATATTCCCCTGAGGAGGTTCTCCCAGGTGGAAACACTCTTTAATACAACTTTAGCCGTAGCTGGTCGGGTCGAAGAAACTACTGGTTTTGCAAAAAAAAACCCATGTCGCTTTGTATGTAAGATGTGATTCTAGACTGAACCAGACAAACCAATTAACTAGTTTATCAGTTCAGTTGCCTAGGCCTAGAGTGTCTCCATTCCAAATGTACGGTGCGCTTTGACCACCAAATCAACAATAAGTACACCCAACTTTGGCATCATTTTTGACACAGCTTTCTTATAAACATTCACAACCACACAAAACTGTTTTGTTTCTCTGAATGTGTAAGAAGAGAGATGTTTATAGTCTCAAAATTGGAGTACCAAATAACTCCTAGTTCCAACAGCAAAAGACCAATCATTTTTAAAGAAATTAGTTTCCCTGTAATGAAGGAGAATACCATGGGAATCTGTGTATGATAGACCCATAACAACTCTTCTATATTATCAATGACACCTCCTTTCTAAATTTATTTTATTTGCTCAACTCAATGTTGCAAACATAACTTCTTTGGGAAATGGTAAAATGATTTTGGAAAACAATTGCCTTGATATTCAGTTAAATTAAACATTTTGTTGTTGAAAAGGGACTCTTTTGGGCAAGAATATTTTTTTGTAACAAGGCTTCCCTTTGGGAGGGAAGGGGAAGAGGTAGTAGATTTTTATTGAACAAATGAACACACTTTTGCTATTTCATGAAATTAAAATTTCTAGTATTACCCCTATTCAATCAAGCAAAGAAATGTAGAGAAATAGTGAAATGCTAATAATCTCAAAACCAGATAAAATATTTATAAGAGAGAAGCAAACAAGCAAAATGTAAAAAGATCAAATCTTTCAAGAAGTACCAAAATTAAAAGAGCATTTCGACTAGAACGATTCAAATTTCAGTACCGGTCACCGCCAAATCCACCACGGCCGCCGCCAAATCCACCACGGCCGCCGGTAACTGCAGGGACGGCGGGAGCAGGAGCGGTCTCCTCCACCTTCTGCACCACTCCTGGTAGATTGGCTATGCCCAACATAGTGAGCAGATCAATGGTGTCCTTGTCGACCTCGATGAAGTCGGTGTTGATGGCGGACTGTTCGGGGACGAAGTCCATGCGGCGCTCCCTCTCCTCTTCCTGGAGCTTGAGCGAGATGCCTCGAACGGGCCCCTTCTGGATCCGCTTCATGAGATGGGTCGAGAATCCGGCGATCTTGTTGCGGAGGCGCTTCGACGGGATGATGGCCACCTCTTCCAGAACCTTCTTGTTGGTGTGGAAATCGAGGGTGAAGCGCGAGTAATAGCGCTCGATCACTTGACGGGAGGACTTCTTCACCGTCTTGGTGCGGACGCGACCCATGGCGGCCTGCGAGTTCTGGTAAGGATGGAGGAGGACGAAGAAGAAATAAGAAGAAGGAAGCCGCTAGGGTTTTGGTTTGGGCAGCTAGGGCAGATAGATTCTCCGTTTAAAGAAAAATGTGGGGTAAATTTCGAACGGTACCCCCAAGAAAGTATTGCTAAATTTACCCAAAAGATGTTATATCTACACTTTTGTTTTTATATTTCCTAAATTTAAGATAGTGTTTGATATTTAAAATTTCATTTCAATTCATATATTTCAATTTTAAAACATAAATTTTTAAATTTCAAATGAAAATGAAAAATATGAGAAATTTGACTCAAATCCAAATATTTTAAATTTTCTAAATAGGAAATTTGAGCCAAAATCAGATTTGAAACCCAAATCTAAATTTCAAGTAAAATTTGCACAAGATAGTAACAAAATATATGTCATTTCTGAATGTAGAACTTAACCTTTTTTATTCTCTATATAGTACTCGAATAATGTCTAGTGGCGAAAACAATGTCCTGTGATGATAGACATTTAGTTTAAACAATGTCTAGTGGCGGTGGATATTTATTTGAACAATGACTTGTAGACAATGACCAATGATACTACATTGAGAAATAAAACATATGATACTATATTGAGAAACTCACTATATTTTTATACTCTCCGTCCAGGAATAATCTTCTTATTCTACGTTTTTTTCCGTGCGAAAATAATCTTTTTATTCTACATTTTCATCCCAATTCTCCTAAACTACCCCTCTTGTTAAATCTCATTTTCTTTTTTTCCTTTCTCTCCTCTTTTTCTCGGCCAAAGCCCCCATACCTCTCTCTCGCTTCCCCAACTCTCCTCTTCTTCTTCTCCTCCTCCTCTTCCGATTATTCTTCTTCGCTTCTTTTTCTTTTTTATTCTCGTCCTCATCTTCTTTCCCCCCTCTTCTTCTTCTTCTTTTTTCTTTTATATCTCTGCTAGATCTATGAGGCTGAGGTGACGGTGGATGGACTAGATGACGATGATGGACCAAACATCGGTGGTGGGAACTGAGTTGGCGGTGGATCTACGGTAGATATGTGTTAGATTTGTGCTTAATCTTCTTCTCATCTTTCTTCACCTTCTTTTTTCTCTTTTTCCTAGAGATGGTGATGGTGGTGGGTGGGGACGATTGTGTGACTGATGGTGATGATGGGGCTATCGGCGGTCGGGGTGGAGGCGGTGATGATGGGGTTGTCGGCGGTCGGGGGTGGAGGCGGTGATGATGGGGCTGTCGGCGGTTGGGGTGGGGCGGCGGTGGGTGGGCGATGGTGGGTGCTCCAGCCTCCAGTGTTCTAGGGTAGTGGGGGTCATGAGGCTACAAGGATATTTTGGACATTTTCCTCTTAAAATCAGCACTCACTAAAAATGAGGAAAAATCAAAGTAGAAAGCTTATTCCCGGACGGAGGGAGTATTATTTAGATAAATTTTCCAATTCTCAAACATACCGTAATATAATTTTGATATTAGTAAAGATTTAACATATTCAATAGAGAGAAGTAGATATTACTATTTTGGAGTGAATTTAGCAAGCGTTTTTTTGATGCAAGGTATTTTAAATTATTTTTCAATAATGTAATTGATGCGGTATGTAAAAGTAAAATGTCATATGTAGATTGTAGATTATCAGTAAAAAATTTGAAGTGATAGATAAGATAATAAAAAATAATGATAAAAATGATTTTTATTTAAAATATAAATATTTTGAGAATAGAGAAAAATAAAATAGGTATTTTTTTTAGAAACATAGAGAGTATTATACACATTAACCTACAAAAACAAAAAAACATTGTTAGTATATTCAAAAATTGAGATTTTACAAGAATAATATAATATCTTTCAAAAAATGTTTAATGATACACACTACTTATTAAAAAAGAAAAAAAATACAATGCTAATATTTTAAGAAATCTAAGATTTTACTAGAACAATTCAAGATTAATACACTATTTCTAATATTTTTAGAAATTTAACATTTTAAAATAATATTCTTTGATTTTTTTTTACATTCATCCCTAACCCGAAGGCTCAACGGCGGTGATCCTACTCGAACAAATTTGCAATTTTTCCCCTGGCCTCCTCTTCACTCCGATTCCGCCGGCGGATCAATGGGTATTTTCAGATCAGTTAAAACGCTGATTTCTCGAACCAGAACCCTCAACGGCGGTGATCTTCGTAGAACCTTCTTCACCGCAGCCTTCTCTTCATCCTCGCCGCCTCTCTACACCGAGCCCTCCGCCTACATCCGCCGCCGCCACTTTCTCGCGCGCCCTAACCTCTCATATCCTACCTTCTGCGGCGCCACCGCTGTCGTTTCGAACTCTTTTCCCGTTTTTCTGTCCTCTCCGCCCTGGAAGCTCTCACAATCCACAAAGCCTTTCCACCTCCATCCCAAGCTCGCCCTCCTTCGAGCCAAAGCTCTCAATTTGAAATTTCCCTGCAGGCTAGGGCTTCAGTCCGCTTCCCCTGCTCCGATACTGATTCTTAATGGACCAGAGGAAAAGCAATTTCTTGAATCTCAGCCTTCTCAAGCCGTTGCTGGAATCAAAGATAGCTTTGTCAATTTCCCAAATTTTATTTCGTTCAGCCGGTTGCTTTCCGGCCCATTACTCGCGTGGTATTTTTTTTACTCTTATATTTGGAGCTCAAGCACAATGTTGTAGATTCTCATTTTTTAGTATGCCCATAGATGTATATGTTTCTCATTACATGATCTGTAATCCAGGCATTACTTTATGACTTTCATAAGGTTTTTAAAGAATCTTGAGGCACTATGTTGCATGGACTCTTCAAATAAGTGTAGTTTCCCGTCCCCGAAATGTCACTAGGCTGGGTACTCGGGACATCCAGACAGCCAAATCCTTTATAATTTTTTTATATTAAAAATTGGCGTTTTCAAGCTTACTACCCCATCTCCGGAACGTATCCTGACACCCAAATTCTTTACTCCCTCCGTCTCGGAAATAAAGGAAATAAAGGCACAAATGGAAAACACGGAGATTAGGGCAATAAGATGTGGTTGGAGTAGGAGAAAAAGTGTAAAAGGGATCGTAAAAGGTACGGATGAGAAGGTTAATTGATTAAAAAAGTAGGGATGAGATGGTTAATTGATTGAAAAAGGTAGGGAAGAGTAGGTTGAAATAAGAGAAAGTAAAAGTGATTGGAACGATATGGTGGGTTATGTTAAAGAAGGGTGCCTTTTGTTTTGGAACACCCGATTTAGAAAGTGTGCCTTTAGTTTCGAAACGGAGGGAGTATAAATTTTCAAAAAGTGGCATTTTCAAGCTTCCAAACCTGTCCCCATATAACTACCCATCCCCGTCTCAGTGCAACTTAGTTGAGGGCTTGAGGCATAGGAACCGGCTCTTCAATGTATTGGCATGCATAATCTTGTTGAAGTTTCCCTAAGACGTAGTGCTCCATTTGTAATTTAATGATTATGCTCTCAAGTTACGAAACTTGTTAATATTATAGAATTGTGCAAAAGAATATTGCTATGCCTAAACTATCCTGACTCGGTAATTCAGTACCCCCCCTCCCTCTTGGAATAGTAGAAGGCACTTAAACTGACTGGAGAAGGGGGGAAAAATAGATTTGAATTAAATACTCAGTGATTTTTAAAAACATCATATAATGTAAAACCACTTTTTAACTGAACGACACTTAATAAGCAATGGTTGAAGAGGTTAAGTAGGATGCTTGTGAAACTGTCACAAAGGACGAAAGTAACAAATTGAATGGTTTGTCCTTTTTGTGATTTTTTGTATATTTCAATTTAGTTACACTAATTGTATTAATTTTTTCAAAACTTCTTTGCAGGATGATCACTCAAGATATGTATGTTTCTGCATTCATTGGGCTTGCTTTTGCTGGTGCAAGTGACTGGGTATAGTCTTATTTTTCTCTCTTTTCTGATGTCGTTGAAACTAAGTCGCTTCCTAATTTTTTAATTTATCATTCCAGTTAGATGGGTATGTGGCCAGGAAGATGGGGATAGATTCCGTGGTTGGTTCCTACCTTGACCCCCTTGCTGACAAGGTAAATATAATTTCTCACATTAGCTCCTCAGATCGATCCGTATATGCATTAAGTTAACCTATTGCATTTGAGTTCAACCTATTGCTTTTGACCTCCAAAGGATGATACTGCCCTCTTCCTATATTTTTGGCCTTCATTTCTTTATTCTTCGTATCATTCTTATGTTTTGATACATTGGAGAAAGTTTCCACCACATATTCTATTTGTAATTCCAACTGTTGGTCGTATGACTTGTTTTGTTCATCAACCCATGAAATATTTCGTATTTCAGGTGCTGATTGGATGTGTGGCCCTGGCAATGGTTGAGAGGGGTCTTTTGCAATGTGAGTACATGCTTGCATTTTCTCTCTCCTATTTTTGTTTTTTAAACTTTAGAATGATATGTGATGGTTTTGAATGAAGGGTTGAACTTGAAAGAATAAACATCATTAGCAAATCAAGAACCCGTTTAAGTACGATCTTGGCTGAAACTGTGGCTGATATTAATGAAAACTGTGAAAATAATTTACGAAGTATAAAATATATTTCAATAATAAAATAGAAAAGACTAAATAACCATTATCGGCAACTTCAGCCAAATTTTAGCCAAAGTACCTTGAGTCACAGTCCAATACATAGTTGGGCTATCTTTGACTGCAAAACGGTCAGTAAGAGTTGCTCCATTTTTGCAACAATTCAAGTCTTTGTACATTCAGCTTTAAAAGTGGATCTCTTTGTTTTTCTCCCCGTTGTGAAGCTCAACTTGTTACACTTGTGGTGCTACGTGATGTTGCCCTCGTTGGTGGTGCTGCTTACAAAAGAGCTGACAGTTTGGGATGGAAGGTGAAACCTCATATATATGCCCTTAATTTTTGCATTAGTCAGCGCTGGTTTTTCCTAATTGAAGAATCATTTCCATAACCACTTCCTTTTTCACTACTAGTTGACAAGTTGGTCAGATTACTTCAACCTAGATGGAATGCGTCCCCAGAAAGTAGAGCCTCTTATGATTAGCAAGGTATACTCTATATTTGTTCAAACTTTTTTTTTCTCCATTTCCCTTCCATGATTCAAACATATTCTCTGAGTCCATTTGGAACGTGAAAAATATTAGGGAAAGAAAAATATTTAGAATATCTTCCTTCTGGTGATCAAAGTTAATCTGCTAATGCCATATGGTGTGTTGACAGGTCAACACCTTCTTCCAATTGGTCTTAGTTGCAGCAGCCCTACTTCAACCAGAATTGGGCAATGCAGGAACCCAAACGTGTATCGACTACTTGAGGTATACATACAATATTACAACTTTGCATCCTTTTGTGCTTTATGCATTTGTGTAAAATATGCATGAAATTAATAGAACTTCCATTTCTTTGGATTAAAATGCAGTTGGATAGTTATGTTCACAACAGTAACTTCAACTGCTGCCTATGGTTCCCAACACCTCAAGACTCCATAAAGAAAAGGTTTTTGTTTGAGGTGATGCTGTTTTATTTACTAACTACACTAACCAAAGCTTTTGATAATCCCCTCCCCTCAATCTCCAAGTAAGTTAGGGTTGATGGCGTTTAATTTGGTGTCAGTTAATACAGTAGTATAATACGGAGTAAAATTTAGCGAAACGATAAAATAATGTGAAATGCATAGTGGGAACTGGGAACATTTTAAGTACGTCGAGGGTGCTTGTTGCAACATTAATTACGTAGCTTGTTTTTTTTCTTATTTAAGTTGTTTTTGTGGTGCAATTCTGTACTCCTTGGTTTGTTTGAGAGGTTTACTTTTGTCAAAAATTTCATGTTTCCCTAGGGATTTATATGTTCACTAACCAGGAACACATTTTTCACTAAAATGAAGTTTAACTGATAATCCATCGAATGGAAATTATCCGTTTGAAAAAAATTGCAAACAGAAATTGACCTGAAAATATCGGTATGTCTGTAATAAAAAATTGTGATTTGGGACTGGTTTCGTTGCCATTGGGCAACAATGCCACTTTGAGGTCACTAACTTTTTGGAGCACTTTTGGTATTCTGTTCAAAGTTGATGGTTTTTATTTTCATGATCTTCACGGTAAACTCTTACCCCATTCTGAATCCACTCTCATCACCGTCAATTGTACCCCGTATATTTTTAATACTTTCTTTCTATTTTATGCACGAATTTATATGTGGCTTACTTTTACATGATTGGAATAAAAAATTATGCAAAATAAATAAAGTAAGATGATTATGTACACATAACACTCGAACGTTCGAATTAAAGAACAAACTGGTCTGTGAACCATCATCATATCTTTCTTTTTTGGTCAAACTATTTGAAAGTTTTTCTAAATGAATATTTGCCTAAACGAATTTTGAATCAGTTTTTCAGTTCGATATTGTTTTCGAATGTTTTTTTGCTAGTGGTTGCAATTGACTAATTGAGGATTGAAGAAGAAGACGAAAAAAGTTTAGGGGGCTGAAAAAAAAAGTTCTTTGAAAGAGATATTCATATACATTTCTAATTAGTTACTACCTAATTACTAAATAACTAAATCTTCTTTGGAAGTAGTATGAAAATAAATAGGTCCTCACCGATCCCCCAAGAATTGGTTGTTTGACTACCATTAATGACTTGGACCAAACAAAAAAATTGTTTGGTGGATGGCTTTTGAAATTGGCTTCTTAGTCTAAACAGCCAAAAATAAAATTGTGAGACCACCCAGCGTTTCAGTTTGGCATTTACGGATCATTTTTTTTGCTCTCTGCGATAGCCTTTGGTCATCTCCACCCTTGTGGATATTTTTTGTTTTTTCATAAATTGTGGATTCATCTACTTTTTCTTGATCTCAATTCTTTAAAATTTTAATTGTTCTTCTTCTCTTTTTTTCTTTTCCTCTCATGAGTGCATTTTAAATCTATTCATTCTACCTGTGAAAAATTCATTCAACCAAAAGTTTAAGGTCACAATTGGGACCCGGAAATGTTTGACATTTCAAATTACGATGCTTGTCTTGAGTAATTTTTTATTTAATTTTTTGATTTAAAATTGGTATAGAGTGTTCTTATATATTTATGATACAACGTTAAAAAAATCTATAAAATAAAAGGTAGCATGTTTGTTATTTGTAAAATGATGAATGAATAAATATACAAAAATAAAATCTACTCATAAAATGTAAATGTAAATTCTCATTTCTTAATTTGTTAAACAAAAAATACAAAGTAGTTATTTTTAGTAGAAAACAGATAGATGTAGAGTATTTGCTTGTATAATGTGTGTGATTAATCAAAATAAAAAATTATACTCCCTCCGTCCTATTCATTTTATATGAAAAAGTATATAAAATTAAAACTATATCAAAAAATCTAGAAAGAAAGTGTATGAAGTTTGATGATGTGCATAGTAAATAAACAATTTAATTTGAGACGGAGGGTGTACTAATTAAAATCAAACACAAATTAACAAAAATGAAGGGATGCCCTTGTATGTAATTTCACCCACAAACAGCTAAATTTGCCAAACTCTTTTTTCTAAACAGCTCACTCAATCAGTAATTTCACCCACAAACAACTAAATTTGCCAAACCCTTTTTTCCTAAACAGATCACTCAATCAGCCCTTAAAAGCAGCCAACATAAACAGCTAATAGCCAACAGTCAGGTTCCAAACAAGGCCATACTCCCTCCATTCCTATTTCAACTATATAATTAGAAAATAAAGTTGAAAAAAAACTATCTTATACTCCACGGTAAATCTCAAAATGTAATCACTAGTCGTGTAAATAAAGGGTAATGACTTTTAAACCCACTCCACGCATATATATAGTCCGCATCTCATAACATAAACGCAATACTCCCACAAAAAATTAAAGTAAATATGTCTCTATTATCTTTTAATTTATTCTTTTGGGTCCTTTTTGTGTGTGCTAATAATAATTTGTACACATACAAAGCAAATGCTTCATTATTATCGTCGCATATGAATTGTTCAAACATCTATGTTGATTCTTCTTCTGGCCATGGAGATTACAATTCTATCCAAGAAGCAATTGATTCAGTTCCGGAGAACAACAATATTTGGGTGTGCATTCATGTCAAAGCTGGAAATTATAGGTATGTTTCAAATTTTAGGGTTTATCTGTCGGTACGATTTCACTTTTTTTTTCCATTATTTTTGTTTCAAGTGATCGATATTATTAAGTTGTGTTGAAATGAAATGAATCTCGTGTTTGTTTTTAAAAATTGGTAGAGAGCAAGTGAAGATACCAGCAGATAAACCCTACATCTATCTCAAGGGAGAAGCGAGAAAGCGAACGAATGTGATTTGGGATGGGCATCATGATATCGATAATGCTACTTTCGTTTGCGATGCGGATAACATACTCATCAAAAGCATCACCTTCATTGTAAGCGATGAATTAATATGCATTCCACAATAACTGTCTGTTAAAGATTATTAGATGCATTAGATTTTGAATGAATGTAGATTTCGTTTGGAGATAAATTTATAATTAGTGTTAAGATTTCGGGAATTTTTTTTAATTGTGTGACGTGACTTTGGAAATCCCGAACAGAATTCGTACAACTTTCCACCGGAGAAAAACAGAAAGAAAAGAGACTGGGCGGTGGCGGCGAAGTTTTCCGGCGACAAAATAGCGGCTTACCGATGTGGGTTTAAGGGATGGCAAGATACGGTTTGGGACAATGAGGGCCGTCATTACTTCAAGAAATGCACCATCATAGGGGCGGTTGACTTCATTTTTGGTAACGGCCAATCTATATATGAGGTAAAATATTTAATTGCACTTTATTTAGTAAATATAAGTAATTAATTGAGATACCATATGTTTAAAACATATCATATCCCATTCAAAGTATAGATTTTAATGTGATCAATATCTAATAGTTATATGGTAAGTATCAATAAATACACTCTAGGGAAGTTTTAATCGCGGAGTATATTTTTCAGCTCGACCAGAAACATCGTATTTGTAGGTCCTACCTGGTACCATTGTTGGAGTTTAGCGTTACCATTTTTAAAATTAATTTGCAATATTAAGATTTTATTCAAAATAAAAATGCTAAGAAAAAATGTTGTCTCCATACAAAGATATAGCATATAATAATGAAAGCGAAAAAATGATTCAGATAATTAATACGGAGTACAAAGTAATTGGGCTTTATTTTATGTTTTATAAAAGGTAAACTTCCTTTGAAATTTGGATTTGCAATTAATATTTGCATCTTGAATCATTTGTACATACTCCCTACATTTTATATTAAGTGTCCTTTCTGACTTTTAAGATATGTACGTTGAAAAATGAATGAACATAAAATATGACTATTCATTCACTCTTCGATGTATCCGAAACGTCATAATGCATTGTTAAAACTAAAAAATACAGTTTTGAATACTTCGTAATATTTTTTTGATTGTAAAGACAAATAATGTTAAAGATAATATAAAACAGAAACTTAGTTATACTCTCGTTTTAATTAGTTTGTACACACCAAGTGAGATTTAGTACCCAGTTTGACTATGTGTAACAAGTAATTTATGCCATTTTGTACGGTACGGGGTCTAGTAACACAAATATTAGATCTTAAATATGGGAAAAAATTTATTACTCTTTTTTTTTAAAGCATACGAATTTTGAAATATCCGTTTTGACTAGGTCGGTTTGGTACATGGAATTCAAACTATGGAATTGGAATTGAGAACTTTAATTTCAATTCTGATGTTTTGTAGCACAAAAATTATGTGGATTTGGAATTAAGAGTGCAAAAAATGAATTGAAATTGATGAATTCAATTCTATAGAATTGAATCCCATGAAATTTCAATTCCAATTCTATCAATTATGTATACCAAACGGACCCTAAATGAAATGAACCAAAAAATGATTTCACCCATAATTTTTCTGTTTGTAAGATGCTCGCAAACAGAAGTTATTTGTGATTCTTTTTTTGTGTGTGTGAACTAACTATACTATTGTTTGTCTGTTTGTATGTTGTTGTTTTTTTTTTTTGAAAAAATAATGCAGAAGTGTATAATATCAGTAGATACAGGCAATGATAAAACAATGGTGGGATACATAACATCACAAGGGAGAGACAGCCCTGATGAAAAGAGTGGGTTTGTGTTCAAGAAATGTTATGTGAATGGAAATGGCAAAGCCTATTTGGGAAGGCCTTGGGGAGACTATTCAAGAGTCATTTTTTTCAAGACTCATATGGAAAACATCATTGTCCCTCAAGGTTGGTGGGCTAATGATGATCTTCTTTCCAAGTGAGTTCCCTTTTTTTTAATCTATTGAAATAATCCCACACTTCTTCTTAACATTGTTTGATTTGCTATATTAATAAATCTATCGGATCTATGTATGGGTTTCTCTGCATTGTTATTTACTGGTTTATTGCTCATGAGTAGTTTCTAATTTATAAAGTGTCTATAAGTCAATTATTCTTTCGAGGAATTAAAATGACTTATAAAATGATAGATAAGTCATTTCGAGGGGTACTTTTTCTGGCTTATAAGTATAAAGAAATATGTCAACACGTAAAAAACTATTTATAAGCATAGAAAAACTCACTATATAGAGAATTAGGTCAAATATTTTGAATCCATTCAACAATTAATATTTAGATTCAGTATATAACTCTGCGTATATTTTTTTTCTCCTCGGAAATAAAAATTACAATCTGCCAATCATGATACACAAAATGTATTATCTAGCTTAATCTTTCTGTATTATCACTGTTATCATTGGTATTAATATTATTGTCGTTATTATTTTTACTTGTATTATTATTGATGAATAAAAATATTGGTTATGCAGTGGGGGTGGGGATAAGTTGACATATGTGGAAGAGGAGTGCAGTGGACCGGGTTCGGACAAGTCAATGAGAATGAATGGGTTATTAACAAAATTGAGCATGCAAGATTTGCATGATCTCACAAGCATCTCTTACATTGATGATAATGATGGTTGGCTTCACAAACTCCCCCCTACTACAATCTTTGCTTAATATAGTATATTATTATTAATCATATACATATATATGGATATTAATTAATTATTCAATTAAGTATATGTATTACTATTTGAATTTATTTATTTTTTATTTCACAATTAATTAAGCACCTCTTACATTGACAATGATTTAATTTATTCACTTATGCATTACATCTACTTTTTTTATTCTTCTAATTTTGAATTTTGTGGTCAATATTTTTAAACTTTGACCCCAAATTATAAACAAATATATTGAGTTGTGATACAATATAATATTCACGTGCTAACGTAAAATCACATATTTTTGAAGTAATAATGCAATTTTTTCCTAAGTAGGTTTAAAATAAACCTTAAAACTAGAAATAAATTAATTAAAATGTCAACTTATTTTTTATGGAGGTTTAGTTATAACAGACTTTGATTTATTAATACATGTAATTGCCAACTTATATTTAATTTATTAATTATTTGGTCTAGCTTTAATTAAAATATCACGTAAATAACTGATTGACATTGACAAAATAACGGTATAAAAATGTACTCCTTCCGTCCCATTTTATAACGCATGTTTTGGTTTACGATGTTTGACTGAAATTTTTTTCAAATCATTTTATATGACAAATGGTATAAAATTAAAAAAATAAAAATTACATATTAAAAAACTATATCAAAAGATCTACAAAACTAGTAGTGACAATAATATTTTATTTTATCAAATTGCCATCGAAAATAGAGAAAGAAAGTGAATGAAGTTTGACCCTGTGAATAGTGAACATGCATGATAATTTGGGACGGATGGAGTATAATTTTTGTGAGCGATGTGTTAATCAATGTGTCCACGCTTTCGGAGTTAATAAAATTGGTGTTGGCAAACAACTACTCTGTATAAATAAAACACAGAAGTAAAATCGTAAAATAAAGACACACCAATTTTAGACTGGTTCCGAACTCCCTACTCTAATACTTTAAGGCTCCTCCTTAAGGATTTCTGAATTCACCAGGTGTCGGTCTCTTGAACTCCGTCAAAGCACTGCGCTAATTTGGCAAACAATCTTTGTCAAAAAGATTCAACCCCAAGATTTCACAACAGCTATCTCGAACCGCTACAATGAAGATTTAAAGGTTATCTTCTATATTTCATCTAAAGATTTGAAATTTAAGGCTATTATTGAACCTTTTACCCAAGAATTTTTCAGTTATCATTTACCATTAATTACAATTGAGAATTTAACAGTTATTCTCGATCGTAAGAAAGTGTGTTTGAAAATACAAAAATAAGTTATACACAACGGCTTAACACAAGGATAAAGAATAAGACTTAGCAGGTATAGAACAAAGATATATATACTCTCTAGAAAAGATACAATATCAGTTTATAAATATGAAAGTATATATATATATATATCTAACCCAAAAGCTCAATAATGTGTAAAAAAATCAGAAGAAAAAGACTCTTGAAATAACCAAAATAATAAGAATGAAGAACAAGAATAAGAACACGCTTGAAATATGACGTTTGGAGCTTGGATTGTTGTTCAAATATAATGAATTAAGTTCATATTTATGGTGGAAAATGTTAATTAGCCATTGGAGATTAATTATGCTAGATTTTGACTAATTAAAGGTTAGATTTGAAATCTGGAAGAAAATTCTCCAACAATAACGGTATCAAAGTATCAGATAAACGGTATCCAGGTACTGGACCTACAGTAGTGAGGTACCGGACTGGAGTTTGGTTGCTACCAGCACATGATGTTTCGGTATTGGTGCAGGTGTAAATTCATCTAAACTCATATACTCCGTATATAACACGTGAGTTCAGCAATACATATGTTTACCTGAATATTAGTTTTTCTATTTTAAATATCTTAAAAGCCGAAATTATTACTCTCACTTTAGTCGTCGGTAACTGTATTCAAAGCTTGAGCATCAATCAATCAAATTCTTCATTAATCGATCAATCTTTTATGAATCTATGACATCTTCATTAAACTCCAACAAATATACTCTGTATTAATTAGCATGTAATTAACATGTTTTCAAACTAATATAGAAAGACCATTGATGTAATATTTTTAAAAGTTCAGAAACTATTAATGTAATTTTTAAAGTTCAAAAAAAATTATTTACTCGGTACTTTTTAGAGAATTGGGGAGTAAATAAATTTTAATGACTTGGGCTTCTGCCAAAGGTAGTGTGACTTGTGACTTGTGAAGTGTGAATCTCTCCTACCGCCCAAAACCGAATTCAAATTCGAAAGGCACCGTTTTCTCGAGTTCGGACATTCAAATCTCAAAAGGGGAAAAGCTCGATGCAGAGATGGAAGGGAAGAAACAAGCTCAAAATCCATGTCCGTCGCCATCTTCTTCGGCCTTCAAAACCCCAAGGCCTCCTTTACGCTCCTTCAATTTCCAATCCTCTCCTCGGTTCTTCACTCCCTGCAATGTCACCCCTGCTTCCTCCGTTCTCGGCCGCCACGCGGCGAAGAGCTCAGCCACAGCGGCCAAGAGCAAAGCAGCGCGAAAGCTGCGAGATTTCGAGCAGGAGCAGTCGAAATCGTCCCGGAAGGCCTTGACGGACAAGGAGAAATCGCTCAAGTCCTTAGCCAAGTCGCTTGGCGTTTGGCTGAATTTCCTGTTCGAGAATCCTAGGTCTTGTGGGTGCGATGTGTCACGGTTTTCCGCCGGAGGGATTGAGAATTTGGGGGAGTGTGAGGCTGGAGTCGCGCTCACTGGGAAGAGGGAGAGCAGGCCGGCTTGTGTGGTTGGGGACGGGGAACCCTGGAGGGATCCCAAGAGGCAGAGGAACATGTCGTGGAGGGGTTTGGGGAAGGAGGAAACATGGGCGTTTCCGGATTCCATGTTCTCCAGGTTGAAGACTTCGTTGCTTGAAGTTTGCAGCTTTGATGATCTGAAGGAGAGAATGAAGAATTACTTGAGTTTGGGAAGCTGTAAGGAGATATTCACTGCCATGACTCAAGTAGCAAAGGTATGCCATTCGTGACCCAACAATTTCTGTGAATTAAGAGCCAAATTAGGTTATACACTTGACTAAACCACCGAACATTAATGGGGTAGTGGCCTATCACTTTTACAGTTCCACTGCATATTCATTGAGTATAGATTTTTCATATAGATTGTTGCTTGTTTTGAAATGTCTGAAAGTGCGGATGTTTCAGAATATTGATGAAGGGAGATTGAAAATGAAGTCCCATTGCCCCATGGTTACTGATGTTGGAATGAAGGAGAAAGCTTTAAAAACTCTCATGTGTTATAACCCCACTTGGCTTCGGATTGGATTGTACATAATTCTGGGTGGTGAGTCCTTGCTGCAAAATGAAGATGCTAATTCTGAACAGGAAGTTGCCTTCTTGAGGATGCTGATTGAGAAGCAGTTTTTATCACATGCCGGTTTAGCAAAAACATATGCTTATAACAAATTGGTTGAGGGTTTATACAGACCTGGTTACTATGATGAGTTGGGGAAAGTCATCTTGAAGAGATTTTTGTTGCTTGTTCTTGTACTTGATAGAGCCAAATGTCAAAGCAGTCTTCCTTGTAAATATGGTATTGATGGTTTAGACGGGGGATCCCCACTGTTGTTCTCTTTGCAATCACGTGTTAAATCTAGCAATGAACTTATAAATGGTAATTTACGAATTGTTCTTTCTGATTTGAACTCTTCTTTGCAGTTTACTTCCAATTATCTTCATTCTATTTTCATCTTTCTGGAAAAATTTAGAGTTCTTATCTTTGGATGTGATGCATGGTGAGGGTAACCTTCTAGCACATTTAGTCATTATGGGGTTTAAAGCAACTTATCAACAGGTAAACCTCTTCCATGTGCTAATGGGTTTGTGGGTTGATTTATCTTATGGGGATCTTTTGAGGCATTGAAATTGGTCGGATTTAGAATATAATATTTGAAATGTTGCAGAATCCTTTGGTAGAGTATCAATTCAAGGTGGTTGATATATTTGAAGATCTTCACGATGGTGTGCGACTTTGCAGAGCTGTTCAGCTCTTGCAGCATGATCCCTCTATCTTAGTGGTTAGTTGGATTTTTTACTTTCTCATCTCCTATAAAAGATCTCTTAGACGTTCCATTATTGTTGGCCCCTTGGCATACTACCTAAAGATAAAACAAAACAAACCAACAAAATGATTATGGTTTTGGGGATTGGAACTTTTGCTCATTATTGTTTTTCGTTTTGAACAGAAAATGTTGGTTCCATCAGACACCCGCAAAAAGTGTTTGAATAACTGTGGTGTGGTTTTGCAATATGTGCAACAAGCTAGTGTGCCAATAGTAGATGAAGATGGTACTATTATAATGGCCGAAGATGTTGTTAATGGGGATAAGGAACTCCTCATTTCATTGCTATGGAACATGTTTGTGCACTTACAGGTGTTCTATTTTTTAGGCTCAATGTTTTGGATCCTTTTATGCTTTTTCAATTGTGATTTAGTACAATCTTCCATGTAGAATGTACTTTAATTGTCATATGTTTTATCAAGCCTGTCATCTAATGTGCAGTTGCCACTTCTAATCAACAAGGAGCTGATGGTTGCGGAGATTCAAAAGATACAAGGGTTTGAGGGGGTATGTCCTGGATACTTTTCTTGTTTTCAGTTTGAATTATTATTTTTTTAAAAACACGTTTGTATTGATTTTCAGAAATGCACAAACAGTCATACTCATTTGGACATGCTTTTGTGTTGGATCCAGGTATTCATGACAAATGTAATCTGCAGTGATGTTTGTTAATCTATCAATATTTTAATATTCAGTCTGTTCAATAACATTCATTTATTTGATAATGTATATATTTTTTAGAACAAACATACTTGGCTTACAACTTCAGGTAAGTCTTTGAGAATCTAGTAAGTTAATTATTTGTTTCAATAAAGGAGTTTTGAATAAAAAAGTGTGAACCACAAAACTGAACAGTGATCATTTGTCAGAAAAAGATTATATTGCCGGGTACTAGGCTTTTTACTAGATCCTCCATATTTGCTCATTAGTGCCTTAGCCTCTGGTTGCCCTCTCTGCAACTCAATTCGTTTTGCATTAAATCATATTACATATTTTTTGAATTTGTCCATAACCGTACAGTCGTACTTCTTGATGTGTATGCTGCCACAAAATATCTGCATCTGATTACTTGTAGTCTAGCTCTCTTCTGCCACACCTGATTCCTGATTGAGGGGTGGCAAAAAAATGAATACTTTGCACTGGTCCATTTACCTTTTTATTGATACACATACTTGCACACCTTAAAGTTTATATATCTTATTGTTTTAGGCCATTTGTAAGAGTTATGATCTTAAGGTTGATGCATTTTCTTCATTGGCCGATGGAAAAGCTATGTGGTGCTTGCTCGATTTTTACTTCAGGAAGGAACTACATTGTTCTTGTTCACTTAAGGTGTTCTAATCTCCAGCCACCCTTATACTACATTAAATTGTTACAGTTGTTCATGTTTTTCTACTCTTTGCTATATTTTAGGCGAGCGATGAAGTAGAAGTTTCCATTGTATCTGCTGTTGATTATACAGATGCGGTGCACAATTTCATTTTATCCCAAAAGCTGCCATCCCTATTGGGGAAATTTCCAGAGGTAAGAACACAATAATTTTTTTTAAAAATAAGGCTAGATGAATTTAGCCTAATTCAAGTTAGTATTCATCATAAGTCACAAAAGTAGACAGTATCAACAGAACACAATCATTGCTGCCTTACGAGGCACATTATCTTCATTGATTCTTTATTTATTTTGACAGAACAAATTGATACATTATGCCATTTGTGTCCTCTTTTCAGTTGCCATTCTGAATGTCAGATTCATTCTCAGCATCACCTTTTTCTTTTCTTAATCTTGTGCTTTTAAGTTTTAACTGTGCAGGTTTTACAAGTCAGTGACATACTTGAAAGTAATGGAGCCTGCAATGATCGGAGTGTGGTTATACTCTTGGCATTTCTCTCATTTCAACTGCTTGTCAGAAGAAATACGGTAGCAATCATAATCCATTATGTAAAAAAACAATATTAGAACATTTTAGACCAGACTTTAGAGAACCAATTCATCATTTTTTTCCTTTTCAATTTTTGCCAGGAGCATTTGAACTTTCATAAATTGTTGGGATTTAATTGTCAAAGTCCTGAAAGGAGAAGGCTAAGCAAAGACCAATGGTTTATGAATCCTGCAACAGACATGAAGCAAGAAAGAATCCACACTTCTGAAGGTCTTTCACACACTCTTAGTAGGACACAATTTAGTATCACCAATTGACAACCTGTTTTCTTGGAATTTTGTGCTTGAAAAAAAATGTTGTTTATATGGACTATGTAATTGGATGATCCAATATCACTCAACTCATAAGTCATGGCTCCGGAATGAACTTCACAAATCATCAATGGCTTCTTTGAGTTCTTTCATATTTTATGTTACGGAGTACTTGTCTAACATTTTGTGCTCCCAGTCACCAAAAATAATCATTTTGAACATCATTCTTTTTTGTTAGCCTGTTACAATAACAATGCCATCTTCTTCTATGTCAGCATTCTCTTCATAAATATCTTTGATTACTTATACCTTAAATTTAAATTTTGTTTTTGTGAAAGATGCTGCAAAAAATTTCAAGGCAATAATGTCCTGGTGGAAAGACATGGCTCTACGTAATAATAAATCTGGCATGGAGCAAGTACCTGAGACAAAACAAGAGTTATTTACCTGTAAAGGAGGCTGTAGCAGTGAAAGGGGTATGTCTCTTTTAATGTTTCTAGTTTATTTATTGAATTTATTCACTCAACTTATTCTCTGATATGTAGAGTGTGGGCATAAAAGCTTGTCCATTTGTTGGCTTTGTTCTTTTACAGAATTTAGAAAAGTAATTTTTTTTTCTGTCTGAAACTTAGAAAAATGAACCTAATAATTCAAACTTATCTTAAATTGGACGCGTTGAAGTATGCATACACATATGTTTAAATGCATTTGAATATCATTGACCGTCATTGTTATCCAAAGACATGATGAAAGTTTTGGTAATTTTGCAGGCTTTTCAGTCAATAACCAAGATAGAATGAAGTCCAAAAATTCTGCACAACCCATTCAGGCTGCTACAAGGATGTCGATCAATGAGCTGCATCAAGAGGGAAGTAAAGAGATTCAAAAAAATTCAGATTCTCATCTTAGTAATGCTTGCATTGTCATTCAGAAATGCTTCCGTGGAAGTATAGCACGATCCATGTTTGCAAACATGATTTCTCAAGCAAAAGCAGCAGTAATTATACAACGTGCTTGGATAATATACAGAGGACAGATGTTGTCTCTCCAGACTAGACACTCTGCGGCGTTAACAATTCAAACACATTGGCATGGTTGGTTAATGAGGAAGGCATTCATTAATAAGAAGAAATCAGCAGCACTTATCCAGAGTGCTTTCCGTTCTATGAAATGCTCAAGGGATTTTAAGCGCTACAGATGTGAAGCTAAGTCAGCGATCATAATTCAGGCCTATGTTCGTGGATGGATTGCTCGTAGAGATTATAATAGGTGTAAATATCTCATTGTTAACATTCAGGTAATTGTTGACCACTAACCAGATGTAAATGCATAATGCAAAATGGTTATCACTCTTAAAAATCATTGAGAGTTGGCCAAGTTGAGATTTGCTGAAATCAAAGATTTCATGCTTTTAACTTTTGGCCTGGATACCTTTTAAGAGTAGTAAAATACTTTGCCTGAAACTTTCCAATCCTTAAAGAGTGTAGGTGTCATTTTCCTGAAAACTGCTGTCAATTATGATCATTTACATAGTGTTAATGATCTGTGATCTGTACGATTAAAGTACCAATTCGCACGAAATCTTTGACAATCAACTCATCACTTATCTTTTCAAAACTGTAATGTGTCTATAAATGTTACCTTTTTTTCATCTAGAGCCATTGTCGTGGGTGCATACAAAGGAAAGAACTGTCCCTACAGAAAGAGGCGGCAGTTAGGATCCAAACTGCAGCCCGTTGGATGATACATAATAACACATTCCTTTCCCGGAAACACGCTGCCACTGAAATCCAGCGCCTTGTCAGAGGAGAAATTACAAGAAAGAGGCTTCTAGGTACTGTCTGGTTTTCTTGATCAAACTGCTTTTGATAATGCACACAAATAGCTCTTGTTGCATAATTGCATTTCACTATATTGCAGGTTCGTCACGCTATCGCAGGACTTCACGTAGCACCTTCAAAGTATCTGAATTGAGAATATTTCTGCAATCAGTGACAAAGTTGCAAAGGTTGTGGAGGGCTGTTTTGTTAAACAGACAAAGAGAAAAATCAGCAATTGTTATCCAATCACATATTCGTGGATGGATTGCCAGGAAACAAGCTTCCAAGAAAAGACACGGGATTATTGTGATCCAGGTAAGTGGCATTTCTATCCTCTCTATATTGTTATTTGTTCCTAAGGTTTCTAATACAACAAATGAACAATTATTCATACTTGTAATGACTAACATTGCTCTTAGAGTCACTCTGGAAAGTAAATATAAATTTTTTGAAGTTCTGTGTGTGGTTTCCTAACTGAGGTTTTTCATTTTTTCTGTATCCTCTATGAATTATCTTTAGACTATTGTTACAATAGATAAGATTAAAGTTCTCTCTCCAATTCTCCAATCTGTGGAATTGGTATCAATTTCATCCCTCTTAATCTGTTATTAAGGGCCTGTTCGGAACCCATACACTATGTTTGGTTCAAGAAATTTGAAAGGAAAAGAAAAGAAAATGGTTTTCTCTCATTTTCTTCACCAAAATGGGAGGAATTTGATTGTCCCTCCTCTTAATATATTTTCTCTTCTCATTTCCTTTTCCTTCCACTTTTCTTTTCTTTTTCTCTCTATTCAATCAAGAAAAACTATTTTCCATCTCATTTTCTTTTCCTTTCCATTTCAAATTCCTTGAACCAAACATAGTGATAAAGTTTCAGGGAAAGAAAAACCAAACATAATGAAATAACTTGGCATTTCCCTCCTTCTCCTTAGCATTTTAAGGATTGAAACAAGCTCGCATGAAACAACCTAAAATCTTGTTCATTTGTGAGTACTCTTGTTCATTTTTTATTCGCCTGTTGTAAATGTGCAGTCATACACGAAAGCTTATCTTGTAAGGAAAGATTTAAAAGGCGAGCTTCTTGATCTGCGTTTGAGAGTGCAAAAGTCTGCTGCAAACATTGATGATGGTATGCGTATAATCAACAGACTTCTTGTTGCATTATCAGAACTGCTGAATATGAAAAGTGTTAGTGGCATTCTCCACACTTGTGCAACTTTAGGTGAGTTTGGTATACTATCAATTCATTACTAGACTTTGTACCACCTTTGCTGATTTCTTTATGATGAACCAAACATGATCATGATATTGAGCCCATCACATTACTTGAACCAAACAAGAACATGTTACAAAACCTTGAGTATTTGATTACGTTATCTGTATAATATATCTTTCCGCAAACGAAACATCCCTAAGTGGCTTGTGAAGCTATCACTAATCTTAAGATAACAAATGAATTAATTAGAAGTTACTCTGTATTCGTATATTGCCTAGATATGGCAACAAAGCATTCTCAAAGGTGTTGTGAGGAACTTGTTGCTGCGGGAGCTGTTCAGATTTTAATAAAGCAAATACGGTCCGTGAGCCGAAGCATTCCTGATCAGGAAGTCTTGAAACATGCTCTCTCCACCCTCAGAAATCTTACGAGATATCCACATTTGATTCAAGTTCTGATTAGCACTCGTGACTGCATCGGCACAATTTTCTTGGAGTTTTTAAGGTTCGGTATAAGCTTTCAAGTTTTAAATTCTAGTTACTTAGGATGTTTGTGTGTTATAGATCTTGTAAAATGGTAAGGAAAGTTTGAACAAATATAAAAATTTCAGATAAAAATTATTGAGCTACCGAGGAAGGAAAAAAAGTACCTTAAGTGGTGTCATTTTATTTCTTTCCAAAGTTCCACCATATACTCCGGGATAGTTTATTGTGAATTTGCTACACAATTTTCGTTCTTTCAGATTTGCACCCATATGATATATATATCTATTTTCTTTTCTTTCCATTTCCCAATACCATTTGCAAGGGGTTTATTCTCGTGGCTTTGATAGTTTATGAAATCTGAATACTTTTGATCAGAAACAAAGAGGATGGGTATTTTATTGCTGCTGAGCTTTTGAAGAAACTGTTTCTTCATCCCAATGGCATTGAAGTTGTGCACAAGTTACCAGTTCTTGTGAAGAGGCTACACAATCTCGTGGAAGAGCTATCTAGGAAGGCAAAAAATGATAAAAGGTCTGATTCTCATCTTTCAAAATAAAAGTTTCTACAGTGTTAGGCTCCATTTAATTTACAGATCTTAAGGGTCTGTTTGGTATACGGAATTGGTGGAATTGGAATTGAATTGGAATTAGGATTCCATGTGATTCAATTCCATAGAATTGAATTCACACAATTTCAATTCATTTTCGCACTATCAATTTCAAATCCACATAATATTTGTGCTACCAAACGCCAGAATTGGAATTGAAGTCCTCAATTCCAATTCCATAATTTGAATTCCTTGTACCAAACGGGGCCTAAGTGGAAAATGTTTTCCAGATTTGTTACGTGGGATTCAAAAACATTTTAGTAATGCTACAGTAGTTTTATGCGCACATGAAAAAATTTATTTTCCAAGAAAATGTCTTGCACAACTAACTTAGAATTCAAACGAAGGCTTGATAAAGTTTCTCACCCACTCTGTCTCATCTTGCTTGACATGGTTGGTCATCACACATTGATAAATATAAAAATATTTTTAAGAAATAGTTTGAAACATACATTCTTCATTGGCCCACGATGTCAAGCAAGACAAAGAGTGTTTGGACAAATTCAAGATTGTTTCTTGTGATGAGATGCACATAAAACATGTTGAAAATATTATTTAAAAAAAAACTAATGCAGGACTACTCAAGCTGTTGCCATGAGAGAAAAGGCTGATAGAAGATTAAGAGAAGCTGTTGAGATTTTGGAACTGATCAAGTCATCAAACCCAAATTGAACCCAAGTATGATTCTGCTGCAATCTGTTGGTTGTTTTCTTTTTTTAGCCTTCAGATATTCTCGTAGTATGATCTTAGATACTTCCTCCGTCTCAGTGTATTTGTTTAGTTTGACTTTTTCAAGTCAAAGAGCATGTACTTTAACCTTCAATTAAATAAAAATTGTATTGTATATTAGCATAAAATTGATTTTTTAGGTTCACCTTGTTGAGAATTTTCAAAATTTTATTTTATTTTACTAATATGTGATGCAAATTGAGAGTAATGTTATGGATAGTAGGGTAGGATATTTAATGGTATTATTATTACTATTATTATTATTATTATTATTATTATTATTATTATTATTATTATTATTATTATTATTATTGTGTTTAAGTTCAAACTAGACAAATAGGAGGGAGGTAGTACTTATGATAACCGTTATGCAATTATTGTTGTTTAAGTTCAAAGTATCTCCAGGGAAATTTGTAGTCTAACTCTCTTCAAGAACATAACAATCAAATTGCGTTCATGCAACTTTGTTAGGCGACTTTTATATTGAGCTCTTAATTCTCTGTCATGCGTAAAATTATAGGAATATGCGAGTAATAATTTGGAATAAATTTGCAATGGCGACCTCAGTTATGAAATATTAGAGACTATATTCTGATTTTTTGTGTTCGTGGGACTTATATGCAAAACCTGATGGGGGTCCTCTTTCTATTTTGGTGTTGGAGTGATTAAAGAATGTTATTTAGATGTAAGCTTTGTGTGACAAAAAAAAAGCGAAAAATTTACTCATGGGTATGTTCCCAATTTTGTAGTAAAAATTTCGGATCCATATGTCTTGGGGTATTTTATAATATCTAAAAATTTACTCTGGAAGTAATAATTTGTTATACTCTTTATCTGCGACAGACTTGTGACAAGATTCTCTATTGCAAATAACTTGTCGTTATTTCATAATCTGCAACGGAAATTTGCGTGTGTGGTATATTTGCGTCAAGTATTGCGATAGGTCTAAAGTGAGATGACGATGTAATCGTGATAAACGTCATTATATATAATAAATAATGCTTATATATATATATATATATATATATATATATATATATATATATATATATATATATCACTTCGAATCAGATAAAACACCAGCAATGTAATCCATTATCGCCATCATTCTCCATTGATCTGAAGAGCACTAAAAAATATTCCTTGCATTAATTACAACAAGTTTACATACTACTTCAGAACAACTTCATTAGTTTGGCACAATATAGAACAACAAGAGGTAAATAACAAAAGATAAATCAATAACAAGAACTAGTTATTATAAAATGAGTAATTTCTAATTAAATTGTAAATAATGCTAATTTAATACTCCGTATCATTTAACTGAAAAAAGAAGAAATAAAAAAAACCCTTGCTTAGGGTTAAGTACGGGTGACCGGTGGGAGGCTAAGAGTGGCCGCGCCAGGAGGGCTTGGCGAGGCTGCGACGTCGGTGGAGCGACGCAGTGGCGAGGCGACAGTAGTGTAGGGGCAACCCCCGGTGAACGAGTTAAGGACATTCTCACACCTTTAATGGACCGATAGGGGGATCTTTTATTTTTTTTTCAAAGAGCTTAATTCAGGACCGGCCTCGAAAAATGGAAAAATGAAATTAACTTGGTCTGGAATTTACATTTTGTGCCCTATTTTATTATTTTAGAATATTTATGCTTCAGAATTAATGATATATTTAAAAATATGGGGTCCTAAAATTTTAAATGTCCTGTGCGATTGACCACTTTACACACCCTCCAGGCCACTCATGGCTTAATTCATTTATGGTAGGCCTATAAAATGAGCGGGAATTTTGGGACCTTACGATCACATAAGAGTTTGCCTTGGGTGGGAGTTATTTCTATTGACATCTGCGAGAGATACTAGTTCCGTTGCAATCTGTCTCAAGTGGTAACAGAAAACGTTGGCGTTTTCTAAGGCGGGAAAAAGGCACGTAATGGCGCCATTTTTGCGACGAACATAAAACGTTTTGTCGCTAATCTGCGATGGATTTGTTTCCTCTGTACCTTTGCGAACACACCAAAAATCTATCGCAATTTCGTGCCAGATTTGTCCGTTGTGCATTGGCGGATCTATGTGGAAATGAATAATGGTACTTGCTCTTAATGAATTTTAAAAATTTGTATCAACACCCTAACTTTTAAAAAAAATTACTTCCTTCATCCTTGAGTATTTGTCCACTTTTGATTTTTTCGGTTAAAATTGGTAAAGTTTCACCTCAAATTAAATAAAAATGATAGTACCTCTGTTCCATAGTATTTGTCCACTTTCATTTTTACACACCATCCAATACACTTCTTTCATCCATTTTATATTGTAATTTGTATATTAAAAAATTATAGAAATTATATATTAATAATCCATATGTTAAGACAAATCAAACAAGATCACACATGACTATATTTAGGCTTACACATTCAGAGAATTTGATGAGTCAAAGTGCTTAGATAAACAGTTCCAAAAGTTAAAAGTGGATGAATACTCCGGGACGGAGGGTGTTGACTTGTTCATCCCACATCGGCTATGCAGCCTTATATTGTGCTGCTATTTAATAGCTAGGGTACCTCAACCTCTTGAGTTAACTTTTGGGGTTGAATTGGCCCAAGTCTATTGTTTCAACAGAGGGAGTATTAGATATTGATACAAAAAAGTTTTCTTAGATTTATTATATCAAATATTTTCAAAATATTATTTTATTTCATTAAAATAGAATATATATTTTATTTAATTATAGGTCAAAAGTTGAAAACAGTTGACCGAGAAAAGTCAAAACTGGATAAATATTCAGGGATGAAGGTAGTATTAGTTATGCCCCCATAAAAAAAAAAGAAATGCTCCCAAAAAATATAAGTTGAACATCCAATACTTACCATAAAATTAAAAGAAATCAAACGTGAAATATTTCCCGTAACAAAAATACAATTTGAAAATAAAATTATTAGGAGAAAGTAAAATTTTAGAGAGTATTTTTCGACATTTATCATTATTAGTTATTTAAATTTTTTGAGCTAAAATTTATTTATTTTTGTGATTTTACATAGTTTTTTTGAAAAAAAACCTGGAGTCTCGCCCTTAGAGCAACTCCAATGGTGGAAGTTATCCTTAAGAAGTATATATCTCATTTATCTCTTCAAGTGATCAAGTTTACCTTCCCAAAAGTGTGCAACTTCATTGGGGGAAAATAATTCAAAAGGTTAAAGTGGGAAACAAATCCATCTACATACATTAATGGGAAAAAACTAGTTGATTTACCTTCTTAAATCAAATTTTAATTATTAGAAAAGAAAATAAACCTTCTTAAAAAAGTCATGGGAAGGTAAATTTGAGGTTTGTTGCCTTTGTTTCTTTTTGATTAATTATTTTAATTTAAAGATTTTATAAAATTCCAACTAATTTATTGGGAAAAAAATTAGAATGTCAGTTGTCAAATAATTAAATATAAATTATGTCCAATTGCACATGTAAAATTATAAATACCCGAGTAGAAAAAACTTAAAAATACAGAGTACAAAATTAAAAAAAACAAAGTATCCTTTTTTGTTAATTCTTGACTTGTTAAGTTTTACAATTACAAAGATACAAATTAAAAATTTATAATAAGACATTCAAGTAAAAATACCAAAATAATAAAATAACTAAAGTAATTAACAGAAATTTAAAAGGCAGGAAAAGTTTATATAACTCCCAAAATGAAGAAGGTAAAGATACCTTTTCAAAATTAAAGTAGGTATAATGATTTTACCTACTTATTTACCTCTCAATGGAGAATGATTTTTAATAAAAGGAGGTATATATCACAATTATTACTATTAACTCTCTCATATACCCCTTTCTTTAGAGTTGCTCTTAGTAAAAGCAACTCCAATGTAGGAGGTAAAACAAAAGGTAAGGAACAATATTTGTCAAATTTACCTTTTCTACACATAGGTTTATCATCAATGGGGAAGGTAAATGAGAAGGTATTATACCTTCTTTAATTATGGAGAGGTATATTTAACTCCTCAATTTTGGAGAGGTATACCAATTTCTTCTCGTTCTTTAAAATACCTTTATTTTGGGAAACATATACTTACCTTCTTCCATTAGAGTCAAGATTTTTATAAATAGGTATATCTACCTTTTTAAGAAGGTAAATGAGTAAAATACCTTCTCAATTCACCTTTTCCCTTTGGAGTTGCTCTTGGAGCAATTCCTAGATTCACCAATGCCATTGTGGGTAGAATCTTGGAAAAAACTCATCAACATTACAAAATGTTAATCATTATTATTCTACATTGGGTTATTTCAACTTATAAGTTGTTTAGAGCATCTCCAACCATGCTTGTTACATGGATTTGCTATTTTTACATTATAGCAAGTGAATAGTGCCTTCAAAAAAAAAGTGAATAGTGATATAGCAAGCACTTTTTCGTTTCATTCTCCAACCATAATTTGCTATTTTATTTTTTAAGTATTGGCTTGCTAAAGTTTGAGGTGTTTGTCATACTTACAAGCCAAAGTCATTTTTTGACAAACTTGCTAAAATAAAGCACACCCATTGGAGAAGGACAAAAGTGTTTAGCTAGCTATATTATAACTTTTAGCAAGCTAAAATACTATGGTTGGAGATGCTCTTATAAATTAAATATTTTTTATGTAAGTATATATTGATTTATTAAATGATAGATGTGCTACATAAAAATATTCATAAATGCGGAAAAACAGTTTTGTAAATAATCTAGTCAAAACAAAAAAAAACAAAATCCAGAGTGAGTACGTGGCACACGGTGGTTGGCTGGTGAGGTGAAGTGACGCTTGAGCTTACGATTTTGGAGTTTTTTTAAAGGAAAAGCCTTTTTTTTCTCCTATGTCCCTTGCGCATCACTGCATATAGCTTTAAAGTTTAAAGCTTAATTTAAAGTCTTAAAGCCTTTTTTTTTTTTGAAAAGTCTTAAAGCCAAATTTATACTCCTTTGGTCAAAGTCTAAAGAGCATAGTTTTGAGAACCGGACCGGGGACTGAACCGGTCAAGGTACTGGTTCACTGGTTTACTGGTCGAACCAGTGGTTCAACTGGTCGAACCGGTGGTTTAAACATATTTAAAAGTTATATAAATATAAATATATAAATATATATATATA